ATTTTTTCCAAAAAAACACCCAAAATTAAAAACAAAAAAGTTTCCAAAAAAAAAAAAAAAAAAAAAAAAACATCGATGTAAAAAGCAGACAAATCAATAATGTTTACATCAATACCCGTGTCTAGTAGCTGCTATAAACTTCCTAGAGTTGTCTGGCAACTTACCTCCAATCAGCTTATCATTCCTCTCAGCACTCAGAAAAATATTGTGTAAATTGTAAAGTCGATGTGAGGCTTTAAGACTAAATCTACCATCAGAAATCGCTGAGAGAGTCGAATGGGACTGTTGTCTGAACAGGGCAGGGAAAGCAATGTGTGTGTTGTTGCTTCGTTTTTTCGCCTCAAGGAGGCCTCTGGGTAAAATCATGGCAAAGCTCTGCACTCCAAGACCTACTATAGCTATTAAAAGCTGCTGGGAGAAAAGGCATTTCTGGTCGTTTTAATAGTGAATGAAAGACAGCAGCTAGTGTCAGTCCAGAGTTCAATGGGAAGAGCTTTTCTATTATGCATGAAAGGGCAGGAAGTGCAAGACGAGTGATTGATGTAAAGAGGGTAAAAATCAAAACCCAATTTAGTTTCAAAGTTACAGCAGAAACACCACGGTAACTTTAATTTACACACAGGAAAAATAACTTGCAGTGATCGCCACACGTCTACAAGCACTGAGCTTTTTGTGAAAAGAAACAGCTTGAATGTGTTTTGTACGAAATGTGTAGATGTACGAAACCCACAACAAAAGCCACCTGAGAGCCTCAAGCCTGCTGCCTGTTTCCCTGTGATGTGCGTACAGATGAGAGTTGTGTTCACAGGCTTACCACTTCTTCGATTTGAGTCTGGGCGCGGGGTTTCGAGGAATCAGAAACAGAGCTCTCATTGGATGCATGTCGCAGAGAGCTGCAGAGGGAACGCAACGGAGTCGGACATAGAACAAAGACAACAAAGAAAAGTGTGTCAGGACTGCTGAAAATGGATTTAAAGAATCCTTGGAAGAGAGGCAGTGATTTCTGCACAGTCTTTACAGCCACGTGAAAAAAACAACAAAGACATTCAAAGCCTATTTCAGCTCAGAGATGACATTTCTAGACATTTCAGTCATTTTCAGGCCTTCAGGTTTAGATTACAAAGCGTTGGCCATGATTATTCTTTACTAGCAAAATTAAAAATGTTAGTATTGTATTGTATATCACAGCTTTGAGAAATGACTGATATCGACCCGATACGACATCAGCAGCAATAGATATGAGAATAACTGACCCGTTTATTATTAACCATTGGCTCCGTGTGTGAGATACAAGTAGGCCTGAAGCAATAATATTGTTGCTTTGAGACTTTTGTCAAGTAATGTAACGATAATGGCATAATAATGCAAGAACACATTCTAAAAGATCAATAATCTTTAAACTTTAATAAACATGTGACACTGGAACTGGAAAACGTATCGATATCGGATCAGGATACCCATAGAAAACAACCCAACAGACAGATTTACCCAACAGTTTTTTAAAATTCTTTCATTATCTTTTTGTGTGGTGTTTTCACTCTCTGGGTTTTCCTATCATCAGCCCTTGACCACGTGTGTTTTGGTGATTTTTTTGTAAAAAGAAGTGACATTTGGCTTTATACAAACACAGCACTGTGCATTACAACCAAATGTCTCCACTTCAGGGTCACTTACCCAGACATATTGTAAATTAGTATGTTCGGATGAAATCTGACAAGTGCTGCTATATTTATAAAGAGAGAGATAAAGAGAGAGAAAGTTTGGTTTATAATTGTTTAGTCTATTTCTAAAACGTACTGACATGAGCTTCAAATTTTAGCATGTGAAGAAAGGTTTGTCTGAGACAGAGCTCTTGAGTTTGGTTGGAAATGTTTCTCAGGATTAAGCCGTCAGCCATCAAGGTGAACTTTGAAAATTGGCAACTGCCTTAAATGTTTTTCAGTTGTACAATTTTTTACTTAATATATTGGTGTCTAAACATTTTTCCTTAGACCAAATTTACCAAGTTTAAAGTATTTGGAGGGGGAAGTAACAGCTTCTTACTTTCAATTTAAAACCTTGAATAATTCAAAAAAATGTTTTCATCTGCTCTACAATAATTTAACTTTGCAATATAGCAGTGTAACAAACATGGGAGTGAGATTTTTGTAGAAAAATTGACCTGTAAATATTGTATCTTAAAAGGTTCTCAGATGTTTGCTTATAATTTTTAAGAAAACCTGATTCCCTAATTGTTGTTGTCTTTTTTAATCCACTACAATAGATAAAGAAGCCATTTTTTCTTCAGAAAATGTGTATTTTGCTAACTTTAATGAATCCCGCTAAATGTTTGTGGCATAACTTCATAACTTTTCATCTACTTTAAATGAAAGCAAAGCAAAAGATGAAAACAGTGGTAATAGAAGACAATAACTTTGTATTTTGTCTAATTTCCAGTGTAAGACAATGGACATTTTCTTTAAAATTTCCTTTTTTGATAAGATCCTCCTCCTTAAAAAAATTTGAATCACGTCCATCTACATAAAATGCATGCAAATTTCTAATAGTAGATGGCACCAGGCCTGAGTTTTGTGCACCACTGTCCTACGATGATGGACTACAAATTGATTGGAAATGACTTTATAACCCTTTACTGATTTATGGGCAACAACAGTCTTTAATATGCACCTGAATTCACAGTACATCAACCTATTTATTATATAGCAATTTCCTGTTACTAACTCCCCTAGTTAAAATATCTGTTAGTTTTACAAACTGTTTCTTTACTAAAATAAGTATGGACACGGTGTAACGTATCACAAGATAAATTTATCCAAACATAGGTGCTGACTAAGGGTGTACCGACTTTTTACCTCATCACAGATCTGCATATCTTGTGTTTGTAACTTACGAGGAGCTCCTTCCGCCATCTCCAGTGCAGTGATGCCTAATGACCAAAGATCGCTCTAGAAACAAAAGAGAAAAGAAAAGGCTGAGTCTGTAGCAAACACACAAGCCAAGATGAAACTCTATTTGGTGGCTGTTTGCATTGCGGCCTATGAGTGAGTTTGGGTGCAAACCAAGACAAAATAACCCAACAATTATAGACAATGTTTCAAATACAAAGATTTCTGAAACTGAAATCTCACTTCTGGAAATGAATCAGCGGATTCACAGAAACAAGAAATATGATTTAAATTCCCTGTAAACAGACAAAATGATACAAATGTAAAGCTGAAACCACAGATTTACATACATCAGGCGACAATGCCTAAGTGGGTGTAGTAGTTGTTTTGCAAAGGTTGTGGGTTTGATTCTTGCTTTCTCTCGTCACATGTAAATGTGCCTTTAGGCTCAGTTTAATATCAGACAGTGAGAAAAAATTGTTGTATCTTTTTTCATCTAATAGATCAGTGGAAAACAAAACTTTACATAAATAATTAGATTAAAACTAACTTGGGGGTTGTCTGTCATGCCCAGGGGCACATCAACATGTGACAAGCTGGAATCAGACCCACAACTTTCTGATCTCAAAACAACAGCTCTACACACCGAGTCACAGCTGCAGCTTAGCTGTTGCTGTCGGCTCCAAATCTTTTTTTTTTTTTTCCCCCCCCACTGTTTGTTGTTTGTAAGGAGCTGATTCTCCTCTGGATTTTTGCACTACAAAAACATGATCTAAATTTCTGTGCTGTGTTCTGTTTGCATTGCACAAAAAAAAAGTTACTCTGTAGTCATAGGTGGCGTCTGGATTCTCGTCACAGGCGATGACCTCTGGAGCCATCCAATAGGGAGTACCGATGAAAGTGTTCCTTCGACCAATCGTCTTGTCCAACTGAGCCGAGACTCCAAAGTCAACTGGAGTACGAAAGTATGAGAAATGATCATGAATGAAAACACCAAGAAAGGACTCTTACACTCCCTCGTTACTACTCTGCATCTTGCTGCGTTCCATCTTACCCAGTTTGACCTCAGCGTTCTCCGTGAGCAAAACATTTTGGCCCTTTATGTCTCGGTGGATCACATGATGGGAGTGAAGATGGGAAAGACCCTGGAAGACAAATACGTCCACAATGAGCGCGCCCGTCCACGGACGAGTCAGATGACTTGCAAGTATGAAAGTGGCAAACACTGGCCGTCAGAGAACGGCTTCGTCACATGCCTGGATTCATACAGACCCAGATTGTCAGACTTGTGGCTCAACTGTAAACATTCTTGCTGTAAGGAACACATATTATGTCTCTTAACAAATTAGTGTAATTTCCTGTGGCAAGAATATAATGTCTGTGGCTTTAGTCAGTCAAAACAACAAGATTACACAACGGAGCTCTCTTCTATAGACAGTCTTTGGAGCCATTTCCTGTCCAACTTTGATTTAAGAGAAAAACACTCCTGTCTTTTTGGAGATATTATATATATATATATATATATATATATAGACACACACACACACATACACATAAAATCTTTGTTTTATCACAACTTAGTCTAAGAAAATGCCATAAAAGTACACTAAAGGTTATAACTTTGGAAATTGGAAAGAGATATTGATGAAACTTTTGAACGTTCTGCAAATGGACATAATAAAAAGCACACCTCTTTAAAAATTGTAGTGTAGTGACTTTAAAAATGCAAAGTCATCACACTTGACTTTGCATGTCAAGTGTGATGGGTGTACTAAGTTTTTCACAAACTCTCTCTGTTAATGTAACAATTATTGACATTGTGGAATTAGGGCTGTGGTTTTTGTAGCGACCACATTCTAGAGGATACATGATAAAACATAGCATTAATGCAGAGTGTGCTCCATTTTTAGCATGCCTGTGCTTATATAATGAAATATCGGGAAACTGACATGATCCCATCAAAAGAGAAAGGGTTAAATTATTTTGAGTTTTAGAAGAAAAAGGAAATCGGCCACAATAAATATTTATTTTTTCCCAATAGGTCTCTTCTAAATGCTAAAGTGTTCAAGTTGAGAACCTCTAATAGTTGCTTACTTTCAGAGCACACACACTTCAGTGTCCTCGCATTCTCGTTTCTTCAAAGGAGGTTAAATAAACAGAGGAAGTGAGTCATATTTCAGACAATGACGCTATGTCAGACCGTAGTGCCTCTATGTGTGTGTGCGTGAGTGTGTGTGTGAGTGTGTGCGCGCGTGTGCATGTGTGTGTGAGGGGATGTTGTGATGTTGAAACAATCAGGAGACAGCGTGGCTGACTGCAGCTCAGAAAATACTGGCCACTGTCCAGATTTTTTTTTTGTGATCCCCTTCAAAATTCTAAACACTAAAAATAAACCAGTTTTATTCTCGTCCTTGACAGAAGCACAATATCATCAGCGAAGAGATTTATTTGAACTTGGCTCAGGCGAGCTGAAGGACACCTCGGTTTGTTACTACGATCACAAACTCAAAGAGAGAACACAGGAAGCAGTTTTTCTTAAAATCTCGTCATCTCCTAAACAACGCTATACTTTAAACTGTCCAATTAAGTATGAAAATAAAAGAAATAGAAAAAACGATTTGGATGTTTTTGCAAGACATTGCACTTTAAGGATTAGAGTAGCTCCAATGAACTAGAGTCACTGTGGAAAGAGGAACTGCATAAAAAGCATCTTCAGTTCCCTGTTATACACAAAACTGGAATGAAACACCAAAATGATTGATATGAGCCATAAACGACAGCTAAAGCAAAGCTTAAATCTAGTTGCAGATACAAAAATTACATGACCTGCTGGGTAATTATTTCAGAACGGGTAAACGGTATAACTGTGCCTCAGTCTGCTCAGCAATTCATTCATGGAAATGTGGATTATTTTGAACTTCCTTAGTCAATGTGTGAACACTTGTCTTAAATGCCTCAAAGCATTTAGAAAAAACATTACCAAGTGCTTGTCACAGTTTATAATACAGCTTTTTAACACACTGACAAAACACATTAGCACATTCATTGCAAATTAAAATGTGGAATCAACAGTGGATGTGGTGCTTTACTCTACAGCTCAATAACAATGCATTCAAAGTGGAATACATATTCATAATTGTGGCAGAGCCATTTGTCAAACTAACAATAAAACAGACTGACTCAAGCTACAGTGTATAACCAGGTTAGCCACACATTTGCTATGCAACATTAGAGCCTGTACTACCACTTTTTGGTGAAGCTAATCCTGATTAATGGAAAGGTGTGTGATCAAGTAATTTTTTGGCAACATTTTCATGTTACTTCCAGTTGGCTTTGCTTTCTATTCAAATTCATTCAGCTCATTGCAGTTTATGGAAAGTTTTCTTAAGCCCCTCCCACAACTTTTACTACTTCTTTGCAATATTTTATTTTGTTTTTTAGCCATTCTTTTAGAGATTTGCTGATGTGCTAAAGATCATTTTCCTAAACATCCTGTGAGATGACTAGTTTTATTCAAGCTCCAGCTTCTTACACTGACACTAGAATATTTCGATACACAGAGAAGCAAAAATAAGCCCATCACCTCTGCGCCATTGTGCTTGAGAGTTGGTATGAGTCACCGGCACACACACCCTCTTTAAGGTGTCTCCAAAAAATGTGGCTGCCCGTTACAACTGAACGTCTCAACGATGCTCTCAACTACCGAAGGAACCGTATTTCGGAAGGATTTGACTTAGTTTTCAAAGAAAACTTTACTACAGCTTCTTGGACGTCCACCTTGGTGAAGATTGACAGCAGAGATAACTGCTGAAAGATATGACGCCATTGTTTGGAAATGACATCTTGGACTTTCCCAGACTGATAGGCAGCAACAACTGCTTCCTGAAGTTGTCTTTCCCTTTTGGCATTGTCTTAAGATGGACCTGAACACTACGAAGGGTCCAATCCAAAACTTTGCAGCCGGCTTGTGCTACTTCATTCCTACGGAAGAAATAAGCGTGGAACTCCGTCTTGGACTTTTACTTTTTGGAAAGAAGTTAGAAGTTCGCTGGAATCTGACAATTTTCCACCTGACCTGCCCTGACCAGCTGGTCGGATACAAAATATTCCCCTTTTTTTCCCTATCAGTGAACAGATTTGATCTAAGTACTAACAAGAATCCTCTCCAGTGTGCAAGTTGTTGGTGTGGAAAGAAGAGTCAATGTTGGAGAATCACTGAGGTGTTTTAAAATGAGGTCAGATAAAGGATGAAAGATGAACGGTGGAGGCTATTTTTAAGGAAACCATGTTCTTTAAAGAGGAATCCTTGTTTATTATTGCTGTTACAAGAGAATTAGACTGGCCACGAGTCATATGACTCTTTCGCCATTTCAAATTTTTACAGCTTCAGCAGTTCTGAACCCCAGTGTTGGGGATTAAAAAGAAGAAGTTTCCCAAACCTTGGACAAACTTTGACAACATTAGGCTGAATTTATAAAAGGAAAGAACTGATCCTGACTCAACCTTGATAGCTGGCAGGAAGACTAAAAATCTTCCTGTGACATTGCTGTTTTTATTATTTAAAGCTTTCAGTCTCTTTCTGTTATGAAACATATGAGATTTATATAAACATATAAATAGTGTGAGTTTTGAAAATTGTGGTGTGAAAGTAGCGGCCTACATTCTTGAAGAAATACGCACAGAGGCTATTTATGCTAACCTCGCTAACTGTGTTATTGCTAGCATAAAATGCTAAAGGTATTTTAAAATGTCAACTAAAAATCCTTGTCGTCATTTTTAAAAACATAAAATCATGTTTTAAGGCAAATGCTCAGTCAGAAACACCAGAAAATCACAAAAAACAGCATCTGTGATACTAGCTGCCCGCAAATAACTAAAATCCACAAATACTTAAGGCTTCCTCTAAAAATGCTTATATCTCCCTATTTTAATATTTCAAACTCCAAACATACCTAAATATGCATTAGTACGCAAAGTGGAAACCATGTTAACACTACTACAGAAGCTAATAATTAAAGTCGTCCTTGTCTCTGTTTCTGGTGGTTCAGCCAATCAGCGCCAAGCAAAATAAATGGTGCTCCTGGATTGGTTGCTTTGCAAATGCCAGCCAATAGTCTGTCAATCAACACTGTGGCAATGTATTTCAGCTTGAAGTTTATAAACAGTTAGTCAGGAATGGACGCGTGTCCATTGTATAACATTATAAAACGGCTCATCATTACCTAAACATTACTAAGGAGTCCGTCATATCATTAGGTCCTGATACCAAAAGGCCATAACTGTATGCTGCACTGGATATTTACAGCTAACAACACATTAGGACTCAGCAGGCTCTTTCTATACAAGGCAGTTATGATTACATAAATGTGTGTTTTGCTCTGTGTTTGTGTTCCTTACCCTTAGCACCTCTCTGCAGATGTAGGCAATCCAGTCCTCTTTCAAACAGTTTCCTTTAGTCTTTTTTACCAAGTCTGTCACAGAGCCAGCACCACAGTACTCCATCACTAACTAAAGACGCAAACAATTTAATGGTTAGTAGTGATACGTTTCTGCCACATTTATGAAAAGCACTAAATATCGCCGTCTTTAAATGAGCAGAATGCTCGGAACATGAAATATTTTTCAACTATTTCAGTTTACAAACCCAAAGTTGGTGGTCCTGTCCAGCAGGTCCTTTTTTAATGAAGGCACCATAATAAGTAGCAATGTTTCTGTGATGAGAATAACTCTTCAGCATATTAATCTCCAGCTTTATCTCCTCCTCTTCTTCCTACAGACACAATTCCCAAAAAAAGAGACAATATTAAAGACAGCACAAGTTTAGTCAGTACGGCCAACAATGACAACACACCGAAATAACCCCAAGTATGAACAAATAACACAATAATAAGCAATGTTTTGGTTTCGTGAAAGAGATCATGGGAAATGAGAAGAGACATGTGAATGGTAGGGGAGCTGGAGGAGTTGGACTTTTTTTCAAGTTCCTGCCTGCTTTTAAATCTGCACAGACACCAGAAAATGACATCTTAGCACTACTACAGAGTGGGAACTTTCGCCACCATCTGAAACAACAAAGAAAAAAAAAAAAAAAAGGAAAGCCCTCCCCCCCACCTGTGACTGCCGTCTGCTTGCGCAAGTGTGAGTAAGTGTGCGATGGCAGATAATAGAGAGGCATTTCCACAGATTGTCTGTAGCAGAGCAGCAGAGAAATCATTAAAAAAAAAAAAAGTCCACAGGAAAAGTCAAACTTGTTGATGATGAAAATGTGCATGTGAACTGTTCTGTGCGAGTTCATGCTTCAGCAGCAAGTGCTCCTAAGTTTGGCTTCATGTTCACAGTTTAACACTTCAAAGTTCAAACATGCACCAACGTAGAGGTCAAGTTAATGGTCTTTTATAATGAAATAAAAGCTGTAAATACAAGACAAAAAGGCTCCTAAAGGTCGGTGAATTACACAATTCATCAACAAAGTATCAACTATTTGTAGTTTTGTGTCTCCCAGCTTAGCTTTGGCCACAGCTGCTTTACTCAAAATATTTATTTCAATGTAGATTTTTCACATTTAAAAAAATAAAAATAAAAATCTGCATTTACAAAAACTCTGATTCCATTTGAAAATGCTGCAAGACCAGCGCTGTATTATGCACTATTTTTACACAAACAAAATGATAACTTAAAACTTGACATAGGTAAATGCAGAACATATGGTTATGATACTGATAATAAAGGATTTCACTGCAGAAAAGGAAAAAAACAAAACAAAAACAAGAACGAATGATTAAACAACATGTGCTTTCACAGTAATGTCTAAACTTTCCAGATGGTCAAATTATCAGGTCCACTGGAATCTGGCCACATTAAGTTATTAAAGATCTAAATGATATCCTTTTATGAACTTATTATCCTGATGAGCCGTAAAAACTTTTTATTGCAGGTCAAATGTGTGTCAAAACGGTTTAGCAGACTTTTTAGAACACAGCTAACTGTTTAAGCTAAATGATTTGAATTAGAGCATTTGATAAGTCCATTTTTAATGTATTATTACAACAACAAAAATATGTCCACAAAAAAACAACAACAACAACAACAACAACAAAAAAATAAATAAAAATTCAACTCTGCGACACTGTTGCCAAACTGTTGCAAAATGGATTCAGAAAGCCAAATTTGAGCAAACTTAGACATGGTTGCAAAATTAAATAAGACTTACTAAAAAATATGTACAAAGTTACTTCTTCCACATAAATACTGGGTCAACATGTTTAATTCCAACTATATCATAAAGGTGTAATGTATAATCCTGTTCCAATCTGTAAACTCACACAAACCCCGGATGCAGCTTTTATTTGACGTTTTTCTATCCTCAAATTGATTTACTCCACAGCAACTTATTAATATTTCATAATAGCAAAACAACAATGTAACACTGTGGCTTTTAAACTCTAAAGTGAACAGAGCTTTAATATCACAGAGATCTAATAAAAAACTACTTCTGTCTGTGGGAAATAAAAAAAGAAACATGAGAAGCGTACGGAGAGGAGGAGGAGAGTTGTTCTCGTAATTCGATTTAGTCGGGGAAAGTGCTATATTAAAGAACATTCTAGTTTGATCCGTGTTGTATGTGCGTACTCTGACAGGAGAATTATGAGAGGCTCCCGAGTGGATTGTAAGAGTTCAAATCGCTTCAATGACCTAAGTGTGCAGTGAGAGAACTCAGAGTGGAAACACAGAGGAGAAGCCGTCTGTTTGGAGTCATGACAGAACAATCAGGGAAGTTTTCTACAGGCTGTTTTATTGGGCTGCTGGCTGTGTCCTCTCGTGACTTTTAGTTCTTTAGGGAGTTCAGTTAAAAACTTTAAAAGCTTGAGTAAATAACCTTTAAAATGAAAAAAAAAAAAAAAAAAAAGAAACGTATTGAGATAAATGCAGAGTTCCGTACTGGAAAAACAAGATTTGATTTTTTTTTTTTTCATTTTTCTTGATTTTCTTGGTTGTTTTTTATGCTTTAAGTATAACAGGATAAAGGGTGTCAAAGAACAAACATACTGTCCCACTGGGTCAGTTTTGGTATGTCACTTCTGCTGACTTTTGTTGATTTTCCGAAGATGGAAGTTCATTTCCTTGAGTTCCTAGTTGTCAAATAAATATTAGTTGTGCCATTCAAAAAGTAGGTCAGGCTGCCATCAGTTGGAGCCACTCCAACTATTCAGCATGTTGAGGTTTGATTCTTCGTCAGACAGATTGTGACGTACACAGCGTACCATGAGCTTGACTAAAGCTACGATTGGGTCATTGCGATGACTTTCAAGAAGCACTTGCATAAATTCTGCAGCAGCAACAGATGTGTGGAATTTATTGGATTTTAGAATATTCAATACAGCAAAATTGGCCATGTGTCCAAAAATAAAAAATAAAAAAAAATCTGTGGTAGTCTTTCTTATGCCTAGTTCATGCGGCAAGATTATAAAATTGTCATTCGATTATTAAAACCTGACAGACCACACACTTGATGATAAAAAGTCTTAGGTATAGCAGGTTTGCTTGTACAATGCGTGGCATACAACCAAACGGCAGGAGCAGCACAACGCACACAAACCAATGTCACTCATCAATAGTCAGATATCAGACAGAAAATCTCGCAAAACAAGTTTAATAGAGAAACAAACAATAGAAAAAGACACCTTAGATGTCACCGCTGGACTTTCTGGTGTGACATGGCAGTTGTTTTGTTGTCTTTGTTTAGAATTCCCCTCTGTGATTCTCATGTCCACAGGGGCCACCAAACACATTGCAATATCGGGCCCAGACAATCCAACACGTTGAATATCTCTGATTTTAGGTTGGAGCAGATCAGAGCACTCTTAAAACCCTACACATGGCAGGAAGATGTCTTAAGAGTAACCGGCTAATCAGAGTGTCCTTAAGATTGTCAGAAGAGGAAAATCGGGACAAAATTTGGCATTAAAATTGAGGTGTCAACTAGGCATCAACTGGTGAATGAATTGAGTATGCTGCAGTTTCAATTATGTAGGAAGACAATGATGGAGCACTATATACTAAAGGTAAAGTACCCTGGATTCCTTCATATTGATTTTCTAAGTCTAATAAGGACTAAACGATTTAGGGCAATGATACTGCAAGGATACAAAGAGAATTTGCAGCAGGAGTAAAAGCAGTAAAACATTTACCTCTGTGACCTCCATGACTTTGATAGCTGCCAGCTGACCAGTCTTGACATGGCGACCCTGGTGGCAAACGTAAAGAAGCAGTTAGCGTCACAACCAGTTTAACCACATAAGCATCCTACAAAAACTCTCGACAGTAAAAGTGCAGAAACTAGAGAAACTCTCGTTGCCGTGACGCCGAGACATAAAAGAAAAATCGATCCTAGCCAATTCCAGATCTGACAGTCAAACATGTTCACATTCTCTCACACACAGCCACACATTACACCGTCTTTGAGAAAACACTCAGCCTGTGATGTAATTCTGCATTCACTGAACTGTCTGCCTAATTTCATTTTCTCTTGGGAGAGCCAGTCAGAAAGAACAAGACGTGACATAATGAGAGTGAAAAAAAAGTCAGCAAAGAGGACTGGAGCTGTAAAGGGCAGTCAGGTGAAAAGGGAGAAATTGAAAACAGTGTCATGAGTCAGAACAGTGACAAGATTCATGAACAGCTGCTCCGTAAAGCCTCAAGGCTGTGATGTATGGAAAGTCTATGAAATATACACGAAAGGATGACAACTAGCCAATTGGTCAGGACAGATGAAACTGATCTTATGTGAAAGCCAAACACAAAGTTGCACATCACTGTGAGGTAAAAGTAAAACAATAAGTGGTTCCAAGATTTTTTTATTTTTTTTTTTTACAAATGGTACGGCATTTTTGTATGAAGTCAGCTTACTCTCAAATTCCTACTCCTAAAACCAGCCCTTCCACTTCACAGCTACATACCAAATTGTGTTGAGAATCCAAACAAAATACAATGAAATCTGCATTTTTAACAATACAAAATATGAGAAAGTTTGAGAGGAATACATTTGTTCAAAAGGCACCGCACATCTTCTGCAATTCTAAGAAACCGATCCCTTCCTCAAAGTGTTAGCAGAGACTTTCTCTCCATCTCGGGCCAGCTGGGGCGACAGCGTTTTGAAATCGCTGTGTCCGAGTTCAACATGTCCTCATCAGAGACGTCCACAGAAGCTTCCCAGATTGTAATCTGAACAGTTCATGGTCGCCCGGGTGTGGTTTTCTCAACAGTCACAGCTAGTCTGTTTCAGTTAAGGATCATTGCACAGATATGGAAAAGTAAAAAAAAAAAAAAAAAAAAAAAAAAAAAAATAAAAAAAAACATTGTCTAAAAGTGGTAACGGATGTAGAAATGTAACCCAATAACCACATTATTGTTCAACTTTTATTAAAAAAGTTAACATTTTTGTAATACTGAGAAGAATTACATGTTCCAACAAGGAGCTCAAGAATAAATTAAATAGAAGGTTCTATAAAAATAATACATGAACAGATACCAACTGATAGTTAATTTTGAGCTGATTTGTAATAATAACACAATAACAATAACACAGTAATAACTAGTGTAAACCCCTAGCGTTAACATTTCCAAAAAGGAGAGCAAAATACGTACTTCTTCAGTTCTCACAGTGTAAAAATAATATTCCCAATGACTTAGTGTATACCATGTATTGTGCTTCAAGATAATCCAAAATGTTGTTACACTGCCAACCCGGAAAACGCTTGAGGAATGAAAATAATTATTTTTGTAGCTGAAATATAGCCTCAAATTCATATAGTCACTGACTAAAAAGGCTCAGCTGTAATTGTCTTTGTGTAGCATTTTGAGATTTACATGTGAAGTGCATTACAAACAAAATGTTATATTCAGTATAATTAATCACTGAGAAAGAGTAGCGGATATGAAATAAAACTGAATTACATGGAGGAAGCATTGAATGCTCCTGTGACTGCATGGCGGTGACTAAACTGTCACATCAACTGGATAACAGAGGCACTGATCTCATGTCAGCACGGAGGGACCTGTCCTTTGGCCTGGATGCGAGCAGGCATTCACTGGGAACTGATTCAGGTGTTGTATGTCCCACAGCAAGTTAGCCAGAGAATGCTGTAACTGGATGTCTGACAGATTGACACAGATTTCAACAAGGGAGCGATTTGGGGGACCTGGCTGGTCACTAGAAGACTTCAGAATGCTGCTGGCTGCAGACATGGATAGTCGTGTGGATGTTAAAGGCTCACACCGGGGAGCTGTTTCAGATCAGACGAGACATAAGGAAGCAGAATGTCACTAACACTGACCTGCGCTGCCTGGGTGAATCCCTTCAAGAGGTCATAATCTAAAGTACCTGGAATCATGATGCCAGGAATAAAATGGGGAAAAGTGGCTCTGCAACACCGCCACGATTGGTCCTAGAACTTGTTCTACATATACTATTTCTCGGTAAATAGTATAATCTAAACCCAACACTGGTCTGCACATTTATTAAACTACACCCAAATTAGATAAATCCTTTGGAGTGTTAATGTTTCTTGTCATCATTAAGTAGTGTTACCGTGCAGAAATTTATTTTGTTAACTGAAGAATTAAAACTCTCCCATTTAGGCATTCGTCTTGTACAAAGAGTTGAAGAAGGAGAAACCAGCAGTAGCATTAGGACTGTTTTTTGTTCATCCTACGGCCTATGAAAACCTCCATCCATTTTCTTTACACCCTTGTCCCTAATGGGGTCGGGAGGGTCTGCTGGTGTCTATCTCCAGCTAACGTTCCAGGCGAGAGGAAGGGAACATCCTGGACAGGTCACCAGTCTGTCGCAGCCTATGAAAACCTCTATTCATTAAATCATTAGACTTGTCTTTTTGGTAATATTAAGATAAAGTCATCTAGAAACAATATGCTAACTTTTTTTAAAGGTTTGTATTGGCTCTAGTGGCCTTTATTTGATAGTTAATTGACAGGAAAGTTGGTAATGAGAGATGGGGAAAGACATGCGGCAAAGGTCACCAGGCCGGGAATCGACCTGCGATCGCGTCGAGGACTACATGGGTTGTGCTTAACCCCTGCGCCACCACAGCACACTCAATATGCTCACTTTTTGACTCATTTTGTGCAAATATGAATGGAAAAATCCATGACCAGAATCTGACAATTGGATGGTCAGAAATTCAAAAATCTGACCAGTGAATGCACCACACTTAAACACTATCAAGTAACATTAAAGAACTAGAGTCAACTTTATTGACCAAGATATTGAGCGCAAACAAAAAATTTGACTTCAGTTTTCAATTGTTCTAGTAATACAGAACCAAAGTGTAAAAATATGAACATTAGAAGAAATAAAATAAGAATAAAAGCAATATCTACATGTATTTGAAGTCATTCATAAAGAAAGAAAAACAGGGACTGTTGTGACAGTAGAAATAAAACAACACTCTTCAGTGTAGTAGTCAGAGGAAGAACACAAGATGTACAGTTGTGGTCAAAAGTGTACATACACTTGTAAAAAATCATAATGTTAT